AATGATGAGGGCAATGAATGTACAAATGTGCTTTACACAATGGATGTATGTATGGATTATAATAAGAGTTGTATGAGCCCTGAATAAAATTATTTTGAAAAATAAATGTAAAAAAATGCTACTTTAAAGATGCCTCTTACAAGCATTTGGCTACTCTCCATGCGACCAAAGACTACATATCTCTGAGAGCAAACTAGTTCTATTGTCCTCCCTGCTCAAAGGTTAGTTGACTCCTTTCTGATGCTCTGCCTCCCTTCTGATACTGGGCTTGGGTTAATCCCCCAGTGAGCTCAGTGACATCTAAAGACACTGCCCACTTGCTATGTGATTGATGGGCCTGGCACGCCCCTAAACTATATAAACCCACTGGAAAATACATTCGCTGTGCTCCTGACCCTGACTCTGGGAAAGGTGAGCCCCAGACCCCACTTCTTGCCGTCCTTTTCTCCCTTATTTGCACAGCCGCTCTAGGTAAACTGAATCTGAAGCTTTCTCATGCTATGAGAAATGAATTTAAAACCTTGTGATCCAAAAATCTCTAATAGGTATATGGTCTAAAGAAATAAAGAATACAACACGAACAAACAGATGTACACCTACGTTTACTGAAGCACTTTCCATAATAGCAAAAATATATGGAAACGCCAAACACCCCTTTTATAGAGGCATGGATAGCAAATTCTGGTGCATCCACACAATGAAATATTATGCATCAATACAAAACAACAATTCTCTTAGACACTGAAAAACATGAACAAAGCTGGAGAACATCAATCTTATAATGATGCGAATGTAATAACACTGTTATTATTTTGTAGAAGGAAGAAAACAAAACATGGTTTATATATCGAAAGACAAAGCTTTGATAAATAAGAGGAGCCCAGGGACAGGGATGGGAACTGGGCAGGGGGTGGGATAGGACATTGAAGAGGGAGGGAGGGAGGATAGGGGGCGGTGGAGAGAACCAGCTACGTGGAGGGGTTAACAGAATATTGTTGATTTCATTTCTTGAGATGAATGTGTATACAGCGTGCTTCTTTAGAAACTAAAGAATAAAAAATAAAAACAAAACCCTCCAGAGTCCTCGTTCATCAAACCTAAATAGTGGTCTGCATGGCTGAAAAAGAGAAACTAAGTAAATGAAAATGCCATGGCTCAGGTCAGGCACACCTTGGGTCAGGCACAACCTTGGGTCTCAAAGTGACACCTTTGGTCTGTAACACTTGAAAGAGATCGGTTTGTCGTAGATCCCCCCACCCCACAATAGAATGATTCATCTGGTTTCTTTCTTTCTTTTTTTAATATAAAGATATTTTATTGGTGGCTCTTACTCATTTGATTTCTTGACTGCTGCTTCCATGGGTGTTGATTGTGGCTTCAAGTAAAATCTTTTATTCCTTCAAACCATTTTATTAGGACAGAAACCAGACATCACATCATTCAGTAGTTCAGTTAAAAATAAAATCTTTCACAGCTCTAACCTTTCCTCCATTTATACAGTTGTGAGAATTTTTGTTTTCTTAATGTCGAAGACTTTATCCTGAAGATGGCGGTCTTGGACCTTCATCAGAAGATGCTGCACGGAGAGAAAATGTTTTGAGAAACGATGTACAAATGCGCTTTACACAATTGATGTGTGTATGGATTGGGATAACAGTTGTATGAGCCCCTAATAAAATGTTAAAAAAGAGAGAGAGAAAAAAAAAAGAAGATGCTGCACGTCCCATGCACTTTCAGCAAACAAGATTGTGTCAGCTGCAGATCACAAGTTGCTAATGAGCTTTCCTTCCGTCCTGATGCCACATTCTTCCTCCTACAGTCTAGGTTCTCAGACTATTTGCTCAGCTTACAGACTGAATGGTTATGGTGGTAATGCAACCTTCATGCACACCTTTCTTGAGGGTCAACCACTCAGTATCTCCTTGTTCTGTGTGAAAAGCTGCCTCTTGATCCATGCACAGGTTCTGCATGAATATGATGAAGTGTTCTGGAATTTCCTTCTTTACAACGAGGTCCACATGTATAATCACCATTTATGTTTATGTCCATTCTCTTTCCATCTTATTCATAATTTTTATGATCCATGTAGTCAGATGCCTTTGCATGGTCAATAAAACCCAGATAAACACCTTCAGATATCCTCTGCTTTCAGCAAAACCCATCAGCAATGATATCCTTCATTTCACATCCTCTTATGAATCTAGTTTGAGTTTCGGGCAGCTCCCTGTCATCATACTGCTGCAGCTGTTTTCTGATTATCTTAACATTTTACTTATGTGTGTAATAAGAATGATATTGCTCGATAATTTCTGCATTTAGATGGGTCACTTTTCTTTGGAATGGGCATAGTATGTATCTCTTCCAGTCACTTGGCCAGGTAGCTGTCTTTCAAATTTCTGGGCAAAGAAGAGTGAGTGAATCTCCAGCATTGTGTGTTTGTTGAAATACTTTAGTTGGTATTCCATCAATACCTGGTAACTTGCATCTCACCAATATGTGTACTGCAGCTTGGACTTCTTCCTTCAATATCATTGCTTCTTGATCATATGCTACCCTCTGAAATGTTTAAATGTCACCAATTCTTTTTTGTCTTTTTACTCTGTATATTCCTTTCGTTTTTCCATGCTTCCCGCATTGTTCAATATTGTCGCCATAGAATCCTGAAGTATTTCAGCTTGTGTGAATTTTTTCAACTCGAAAAGTGTAGAGCATGTTCTTTCTTTTTGTGTTTCTTACTCCAGGTCGGTGCACATTTTTGACTGGACCCTATTTATACAAACAATGGGGGTTGGTGATAGGTCAAAACTTTTAATAGCACTCATTTTAATAACTTTTAATAGACAAAGGCAGAACCATGCCTACCTGAATAACACATGTCATAACAAAGCAAGGAGGGCATAAGTTAGGAACTGTATGGCAGTCTGGCCACCATTCATCGGGCACCCTCAAGGTAAGAGATCTGAACCAAAGTTCAGTGACCTCGGGATAGCAGTTGTCTGCTTATTCTCACACTAGGGAGTTTCAGCATTAAGTCCAAGGGCAACAGGTGAGTTTGAGGTAAAGCTGTCACTTAGTGGGGTTACCACATTGAGCCCCTCTGGTTTGGTCCATGAAGGATGTTGTACACCTCAACAGAACAGAGTCTAAAGTCCCAGTAATATATAGCACACGGCCTGGTTTACTGAAGGTGGAATAGATACCAGGTCAAAAGTATCCAATCAGGAACACAGAAAACACAACAAACTGCCATTGAGTCGATGCAGGCCATAGTGACCTTATAGCATCGGATGCAACTGCCCCTGTGGGTTTCCATGACTAACTCTTTATGGGAGTAGAAAGTCTTGTCTTTCTCCTCAAGAACAGCTGGTGAAAGAGCAGCTGGGAGTTTTGAACTGCTGATCTTCCAGGTAGTAGCCCAATGCAGCATAACTACTATGCCACCACAGGTCCTGTAATTGGGAACAAAGCACAGGGCACGTTCTCCCTTTGGGTTTGATGTAAGTATTGTTAAGCACTTTTTCCTGATGGGAGAGCACTCTCCCCCATTGACCTATTGTGATAGGGAGGTTTATTGGGCCAACCTGGCCAATGAACACATGTGGGATTAATTAAAGGGCAGTTTAATTGAAGGGCAGAGAGATAAATGGCTCGGTGAGCCTTCGCCTTTCTTGTCTCTTGCTCTTTGATGATCAGACCAGTGTGCAGCTGCCTTAGCTGGTTCTCTGCCTCAACTTGTGAGCTACACTGCATGTGGGACGCCCAACCTATGGACTGTGTCACTGTAGTTTGAGGTTCCTTGAAGACCTGCTTCGCCACGTTACTGGAGTATACATCGCTTGAGCTGGGGACTGTCGGATCCTGTCATCTGGCTGACTGTTGGTGACCTGCCTTACTGTTTGCTGCCTGTGGCCGGATTGTCTGAATTGGTCTACAGAGGACTCAGGTGTCTGCTTCCTTGACTTGCACTGGAGACCCTTGTGACTTGAAGGACTGTCAGTGTGTTAGCTGTCTCACGGAAGTGAGCTGCACTGAATCATTTGTACTGCTCTACAGACTACCATAATTAGCTGTTTATTTCTTATGTTGTATATCTATATAGATATATATATAAAATCATAAGTGTCCTGGTCTTATTTCTTTAGAGAACCCAGTCTAATATACCCACTAACAGAAAGGTAATCATCTTCCCTGTCCTCCTTCCCCGACCTTGGCTTGAATTTCCAGTAAGGTTTGCTTATCACTCTGATAGGAGTGTCTGTTGATTTGAGATGCCTTAGCACATCTTTATATGGCAGCAACTGAGTGGTCTTCTCCCACTCCCTGCACCTTGAAAATCTACCCCCTCTGAGGTGAGGTCTTCTCTGTCAAAGTGGTTTTAAGATGTACATAGAGAAGAGGTGATATATGGTTCATGGACACTATGCAGGCTACCACCACATTGCTTAGGAGACTGGATTAGAAGATTACATGACCTGAGAGCAGAAGCGTGCCTTTATCTTGGTGTTCATCCTTATAGGGGTGGACGCATACAGTATTTCTCCTTTTGTGATCAACCCACATCACTGAACATAATGGTTTTCTTGTCCATCCATGTCATGAGGTGTTTTGTGGTTTCTTCGCTGTTTTTTTAGGGATGCAAAGTCTTCCATTGTGTGTATGCACCACATTTCTTTATCCATTCTTCTACGGAGGGGCATTTGGGAGGTTTCCAGCTTCTTGCGATTGTGAACTGTGTGTGGCGCAGTGAACATGGGAGAGCATATGTCTGTTTGTGTTTTGTCTCATTTCTTTGGGGTGTGGCTGGGTCATGTGGCATTTCTGTTGCCAGTTGTTTTAGGGAGCGCCACATCGCTTTCCACAGTGGTTGTACCTACTACAGTCTCACCAGCAGAGCTTGAATCTCTCCACTACTGCGCTAGCATCTGCTGCCCTCCATTTTTGGTTGAATTGAGCTATCATTGTGGGTGTTGTTTTGAATTGCACCTCCCAGATGGCGAGTGAACGTGAGCATTTCCTTAGGTGTTTGTTGACCATTGAGTGCTGTCCTTTGTGAATTGTCTATCCATGTTCTTTTCCCCCTGTTAATTAGATTATTTGTTTTTCTCTTATGGAGGTCTTGCAGCATTCTATAGATTTTAGTCATTAGTCCCTTGTCCGTTGTGTCATTGCTAAAGATTTTCCCCCCCAATTCATGGGCTCTCGTTTAACTCTTTTGATAAAATCTTTGGGTGTGCCTAAGTGGTTTATTTTTAATAGGTCACTGTTTTGTCTCCCACTCTGTGTGCTTCCTTTATAATATTTGGTATTCTGTGTATGCCCTGCAACAGGGCCCTGGAGTTCGCACATTTTATTAAAATATACTTTGCCTTCTCGAGCTATGCTTCGAAGCCGTCTGTTCAGCTCTTGTCTGTGATTTTTTCTTCCATATGAGCTCAAGAGCAAGCTTTAGTTTTTTCTGACACCCATTTGGGGCTTGTCTTTCTTTCATCGCTTTTTGCTTTCTTCACGATGTCCTTGATGTCCTCCTGCAACTCATCTGGACATGAGATTCATTCAGATGGGACGTACTCTAATCATACTTTGGCTGTTAGACTTGTGTTCATTTTTTCCAGCGTCAACTTGAATTTGGATCTGGGCACTTGACTGTCAACCACGCTGTGGTCTCATGCTGATCGTCAACCTCATCCAAATGATCTATCTTTGTCCTGTTAGAGCTTAACGAAGGGGTCCCCATAGAGCATGTTTGAATTTGACCTCTTTCCCCACCATAGAAAAATTTTATGCTTTTTAAGGGTGGCTTTTGTGATATGTGAATGAATTATATCTCAGTTTATCACGAAGGCCACAGAATCTTGGGTAATGGCTGAACAGCAGGGGTAGGGAAATGAAAGAGGGAGAAGTAACACTGAGGTGCATGTGATACTCTGAATGCACTGGGATAGCCTACAACAGCGGTTCTCAACCTGTGGGTTGCAACCCCTTTGGGGGTTGAATGACCCTTTCACAGGGATTACCCAATTCATAACAATAGCAAAATTACAGTTAGGAAGTAGCAACTAAAATAATTTTATGGTTGGGGGTCACCACAACATGAGGAACTGTGTTAAAGGGTCTCAGCATTAGGAAGGTTGAGAAGGTTAAGGCCTACAAGCTGTGTCCTCGGCCTTGCTCCAGGTGCATTAAGCAATGTCCCCAAGCTCAACAGTGACAGATAAGGATGGCATCTTGGGTAAGGTGACCAGATTTTAACATTGGTAAAACGGGACAAAAGCAGGACACCATTGGTAAAACTCATATTCTGGTGAAATAGCCACATGGCAGCCAAAAACCGTATACCCTAGCTTGTCATACATTCTTTTAAAAAATTGGGACTTTTTAAAAACAGCGCGGGATGCGGGAAAGATTGTTAAAAATCGGGTCTGTCCTGCCAAAAGTGGGACGTCTGGTCACCTTATTCTTGGGGGGTAAAGAGTTTATCATTGGAACAGCAAACTGACCTCTAAGGGGGTGGGGGTGGGGAGAAGCTTTCTTTCCATTTTCTTCTCTTTATGAATTTCTTAGCTTTCTGCCAATTTCATCTGCAACAAGTCCTATTTAGGCTTCTATACCTTGCCATCAACCCAACAGCAGTGGTTTTGAGTTTGGATGCAGGCGCCGCAGTTTCAGGTTGAGTAAGTCAGTCACTTACCCCCAACCCCTCACAGCACAGTGGTGGGAAGAAGGGTAAACTACTGTTTTCTCTCCCCACACTCAGACTCAAGAGTCAGAATGAGAGGACCAGCTCTAAAGATAATGGGATGGTGGAGTGTGCCGTCCGATGCAGTTCCACCTCAGAGGACCTGTAGGACAGGGAGAAACGCCCCCATGGGTTTCCAAGGCTGAAATCTTTACAGGAGCAAATCATCCGGGTTCTCCTCCTTGCTATGCTGCTGGTGGGCTTCAAACATTGACCTTGCGATTTTCGTTGCCAAGCATTTAACCATTGTGCCACCAGGTGCCTTCAGAGTAATGTGTAGCTACTGATTTACTGGTTTCTCTTGGGTAACCTTCAGGTAGAAGGAGGCTTAGAAACCTGAGAACTTGTATCCCGAAAGTTGCATCTGACGTCTCTATCATGTAGCCAGGAGCCCTGGTGGCCTTGTGGGTTACTCATTGGGCTGCTAGCTGGAAGGTCAGCAGTTCAAAACCACCAGCTTCTGTGAGGTAGAAAAATCAGGCTGTCTGCTCGGATAAAGATTTACAGGCTTGGAAACCCACAGGGTTTATAGGTGCTCTGTCCTATAGGGTCACTATGAGTCATAATCAACTCGATGGCAGTGAATCTGGTTGTTGTTATTTTATTGGCGTGCCAGGTTTATTGAAAATTTTACAGCATTATGGAAAACATTCAAATGGCTCTACGTGTGTGTTAGACCAGGCTGACTAGAGAAACAAATCCAGAGACACTCACTCATATGTGTCTTTGAGAGAGTTTTATATCAAAGAGTAATTGTATATTAATAAAACATCCCAGACCAGTCCAGATCAAGCCAAAGTCTGACATTAGCCCTTAAGTCCAATAGTAGTCCATAAATCACTCTTCAGACTCACACAGTCACATGCAATGATGCAGAATGTAGAAAGATCATAGGCTGGTGGGTGCAAAGTCTTGTGGATCCGATGGTGGTGGACGCATCTCCAGGGCTCTGGCTGCCATCAGCATGGTTCCATGTGGCCTGTCAGCAGGAAGATGAAGCAGAGAGAGAGTATGGTCCACTTCCAGGGAGAGAGGAAGTTCCTCGAATTCTCATGAGAGGCCACACTAACAAGGAGGCATCATCAGGCTATGACCTGATTGACAGGCTAGACTCCACCCCCACCCTTATTTATCAGGCTGACATGAAATTATGTAACTACCACAAAGAGGCATTTTAAAATTCATCCCAACTGTGGGCTGAGTGGCCTGTAGGTTGGACAGACGGCCAAAGTCCAAGAGCTTCAACATTTCCTGAGTGTCTTGGTCCACTTTGATGATCCCCTGATCCTGTGCTGAGACCTGAGTAATATAATGACCTCTCCTTTCTCTCTCCTCTTCCTGCAGTGTGAGGAAGCTACCTCTCGTGGGGCCTCTCTGGACCCACTTCATCAAGGGTGTGACACGGCCCGCATTGCTGTTGTAGAGCTTCTTGCTGGGAGGAATGGCACTGGTTTGTGTGGAGGTTGTCCAGCGTGTGCAGTGCTTCTCATTGATGACCCGGGCCGCCTTCGTCTCAGTTTTGGTGTGAACTCGCACTGTTGCGGGTCCCTGATAAAAGAGATCTTTTTTTGTTTGTTTGTTTGAGCTAGGGAATCCTGGTGGCACAATGATGAAAGTGCTTGGTTGCTCACCAAGAAGTGGATGAGGGGAACCCACCAGCTACTTGCAGGAGAAAAATGTGGGCACAATGTGGGATTGCCCCATAAGCAAGGTAGACATGGGCTGGCTTGTAGTGAGTTCCGTATTTGTTCACCACATCCACGATTCTGCTCCTAGGCATGCTGGGGCAGCTGTCTCTCTCCCAAGCCCCCAAAGTCTCTTTTCAAGTTGACAATCCCTGACAGCGACAGAGGACCAGGTAAACATGGTAAGCAGGGACTTCTTTGTGCTTACTTACTAATGTGTACTGAACGATTGCACATGTTCTTCACGGCAGCTGTGGTGAAACTCCTGTGAGATTGTTTACAGTAAACACAGGTAAGCCGGTGCTCATTTTGCTCATTGAATAATTGGCTTCTGTGTGGCGTTTTTGTGGCTCCTTGAATACTCTGCTTTTATGTGGCGTTCGGCTTTCATCAAAGATTTAGAAGCTTAGAAACCTGATGGGGACTTTCTACTCTGTCTTTTAGGTTTGATCTGAGTCGGAGTCCACTTGATGGCATGGGCTAGATTATGTGCTGTTGTCGCTCCCTGAAGACACCTTCCCAACTTAGGGAATCCTAAAGGGTGGGGTACCAGCCCCCACAATCGAATGGGTCAAGGGCGGTTGTGTAATGGAGGGGTAAAATTACAGACATCAGACAAGGTAAAGCAGGCAAGTGCTCACCTCCCAGACAGCCATGACTTCAGTAGCCAGACCCATAGAGAGAGTGAGAATATATATTTAATTATTTTATTGGGGGCTCATACAATTCTCATCACAATCCACACATACACCCATTGTGTCAAGCGCATATGCACATTTGTTGCCCTCATAATTCTCAAAACAATTGCCTCCCACTCTAGCCCCTAATATCAGTTGCTCATTTTTCCCCTCCCTCCCCACTACCCCTTCCTCATGAGCCCTTCATAGTTCATAAATTATTATAGTTTTGTCATAAGTTACCCTATCCGATGTTTCCCTCCGCCCTCTTCTCTGCTGTCCATCCCCCAGGGAGGCAATACTTAGATTCTTGTAATTGGTTCCCCAGAGCGAGAATATATTTCCAACCAAGGCTTATCTACACTCAGGGGGTGTGCAAGACCCCCTAATTACAGGTAACCACATCGTATCAGGAAGGGGTTGTACAATAGGCATATGTGTAAGAGGAGGGGGACAAGCATGGGGTGTACACACAACAGGAAGGGGAGGCACTAGGGGCAGACACGTGACAGGAACGCATACATGTAACAAGGTGGGCGGGCTCTAGAGTCAAGATGGCAGCCTCCCTGAGGCTTAGTCCTCCCTGAGTTGGCTTGACCTTAGATGTCTTTGGGCTCTTCTTCAGGGGAACCATCCATTATCCTTATCAGGAGGGAGTGGGCCCCCACCTAGGGTGGGACAGTCTTTAGGGTCTGATTGCTCTATAGCTGATAAGCCTCAGGCAGATAACCTCTAAGCAGTCAGAGCCTTAGATTTGGCATATATTATGAGGGCGCAACGTGGGGAATAACTTTTCTGATTCCCACACTAAAGGAGATGGGGCTTCTGGTTCATGGAGTAGCCATTTTCAAAGAGAATTTAAATTTAGAGATAATCATTTTTTCTCCCTGCTCCCAAGCCTTCATCCCCAATGTATTCAGGGATGAAGTGAGAGCACCTGTCTGTTGTTGGCGGAGAAGAAAGCGTGTTGCCTATGACAACCAGCAGACCAGTTGAGGTTTACTGCTGCAGGTTCCCTGAGTCACCCTGGTAACCATCTTTGCAGGACATCTTCTGTGGGCAAGGGTTATGCATGAACTCAACCTATTGGATCCCCAGCTACCACCTTTTCCTGGGTGGCATCAGGGACCCTGGAAAATTCTACTCACTAGGGAAGAGTCAAAGTTTCTTTGATCCCCTGGAACCAGGCAGAACACCAAGAGGTCTTTCTTTAGAAAAATTAAAGACAGCAGCTACTCTGGGTATAGGTAGACAAAGAGTAAAGATGCAGTGTTGGGTTAGCCCATAAGCAAGGTAAGCATGGGCTGACTTGTGCTTCCTTGCTCATCTGTAGCGCAATTTCACTCTTTTTGCCTCATCAAATATTCTACTTTGAGGCATGGCTGGCATCTGTTTCTCTTCCAGCCACACAGCACCTTCCTACAGAATCAAAATCTGCAAATTTACAGTCCCTCACCCGGACCATGTCGTCAGTACGCAGGGTAAGTGCAAACTTACTTGTGTTTACTTTTTTAAAAAATCATTTTTATTAGGTAGTATTAAGTTAATTTTGGAGGAGAGTGAGGGGCCAGCCCCCACAGCTACTACTACCTATGGGTTCAGTAAGCGCAATTGTATGGTTGAGATATATATATATTATATTAAAGTCATTGAGAGCATGAGAGATAAAAGAGATATTACAATGATGCAGTCAGACACATTACATAGTAGCATTGCTCACCTCCGCCCCACTTGGTGGTCCTCGTGGGGCAAACCCAGCTATGAGAGCAGGAGCAGCCTTGGGGACCGAGAACCAGGGAGCCTCTCCTAGCCCAAGAGTCAGAGAGGGCCCCGGGAATCGGGGAGAGCTTCCCGGGCTCCGGAGAGAGCTTTTTCTTTATTGCTAACCAATCATTATATCACTTTAGGGGGCCATGATTACAGAATCACACGTCACAGGAAGGGGCAGTACAATAGGCATACACATTGTAGGAAGGGGATCTATGATAGGCATAAGCATAACAGGAAGGGGATGAGCTAGGGGTGTGCCCATAGGAATGGGAAGGTCTAG